GTGAATTGACGACTTCAATTCACTACTCTGTACCAGACTTACTTCGGTAGAGGAGGTTTGGTTCGTTAGGGCCTCAATCTGTTTACTCCGGTGGAGGTGAGTCGCCCGCTGGGGACTTAGATTGACAGGGTCTGGAGACCTTTAGTCGAGGCTGCAGACTGTTTAAGAACCTCCCGCAGTATAACTATCATTGAACTTGAACTGGGTAAATTAAAACTTGGCTTAACTGCAGTCTAGGGGGAACCATATCTGGGTGACCTCTCTCAACTTGAACACAACTTTCACTACTTTGCTTGCTAGTTTAACTTAACCTTCACTAGAATAGAACTGCTAAATAATAAGATTTTAACGGAGTAGTCATCACACCTAGGACCCGGGTTGACATTTAGAACTGAACCCGCTATACTACGCATTAGTAGGTGGTTGCATGACACGCTATGACACAACACCTAACAATGGCCAAGTGTAACCAATGAAAGGGACTGCAGTATAGTGGCACAAGTAATAAATATCAAATCCACGGGTCTCTAGAGTTACTATTACTCAGCTTCAGTTCATTATCTAGCAAACTAGATTAAAGATTGATTTACTAAACAACTCTACTAACTACTCTACTAATTACAAGTTGGGAAGTCACTTAGGTATGATTCCCCCTAGCTCCTCAATTAGGTCCAAGTTGCAATTACCTTTGGTTGATCTACTGTTGATTAAACTGCGGAAGATCCTAAATTAGCTTGGAATCTCTTAAGCTGACCAAGCCCTCTTAGACACAATACCCGGCAGGCGACTACCCGTCACCGGGATAGATTTCTAAGGCGATTCACACAAATCTCCACTACTGGAATGAATTCCAGTACAAAGTAGTAAATTGATTGACTCTCGCACAACCAATTCACCACTATCAATCAAGGATGATCAGGCTTCAATTGACTCTATAAATCATGCCTCAATCAATTATAATAAAAAAATATAGCATCCAAAACTTCATACAAGAAAGATCCTAACACATGGAACTAGGGTTCCTCAAAACCTAAGTGAAGGGAAGTTACTCCACAGAGAAGAGAGAGTCTGCAGAAATCTGATCTAGATCTTCAATCTCCATCTCCAAGCTTGATTCCCGAGCTCCAATGGCAAAGAAATCCTCCAAAATAGCTCCAAGAATGTTCCCAAGTCGCTTTCTCTCTCTAGGGTTCGTCCCTTGGGTGTTTGGGAACCAAAACCCAGCTCTCTCTCTCCTTTGGCTCGAAATTGGCTTAAAACCAGAAATTTCCGACTCACACGGCCAGGCCACACGACCGTGTGACTTTCCCAGCTGCCCGTGTGAGTGTCCAAACGCGGCGTTTTGACTAGTGGGCAACCAGGCAAGCTGCACGGGCAGAGGCCACACGGCCGTGTGGCTCCCCAGGCTGCCCGTGTGACTTTTACCGAGCCTTCACACGGCCACAAGGGGCCCCTACACAGCCGTGTGAGGTGCAATGGTGCCCGTGTGGCTTCCCAACTTCTCGCCAAACGTCCCAACTTCGTCCAATCGACCCCCAACTCGTTCCTAAACCTTCATTCACATACTAGGACCTTAAATATCACAAACAAGAACAACCTAGCGTGAAATCGGCCTAAAACGCGAGAATCAACATCTCAAATGGCTCAAGAATTGGGGTAAAAAAATGTGTAATTATTGGTCTATCAAACTCCCCCACACTTAACCGTTTGCTTGTCCCCAAGCAAACCTGACTCAAACCAATGTAACTCTCCAGACCTCTATAGCAACATGCAACCCCGATCGTCGGCAGAGGATTTTCTAGATAATTTAGCAACTTACGAGGTTAACTGGTCTTCTAAGACGCTTCCTATCTCTCTCAATGCAAGTACTAGACTCAATCCAGGATTATGAGAAGCAGTGGAACTAAGACAGTAAATTCATGGATAAGGAGACTCACACAATTCAACAACCAAGGACTCGTTGTACTGGGGTGCTCTTTCACTTCATTTCACAATTGGAACCCCTTTTTCACTTTCATTTTACTCTTTTTTTTTCTTTTTATTCACTTGGCGGGGGTTCCAACTGCAGTCTTTTGCACGGTCGACCCTTATTAGTCGAGCAAGAGCAATTTCTGTACATCTGGCGCTCGCCAGAGTACTTCTTTTAACTCCTTTTCCTCAACTCGTGTGGAGGGTCAATGAAATTAAGGGGGGTCGGAAGCTCTATCCGTGCCCTTAAAACACATCCTCAAGTAGGCAAACCGTTCAACGGGTGGAAATTTTACTTGTACCAGAGACAACTTAGCTTCACCTTGTAGGCCTACCCCACCAAGGATCACTCAAATCTCTTCCAAAACCCAATTTTGTGCAATGAATGGTGCCACACACGTTGGGCTTACCCCATGTCTTAGAATTTCACATTTTTACATGGAGGACCAACTGCTTTTTCATTTCACACTTTAGCACCCTTTTTCGATACACGAGTCCACAACACAACATAAGAAGAGTCATCAATACCACATGAATCAACGGTCCTAAATCCACTAGTTCAGAAAATCAACTAGCACAGCAGAGAGAGCTAGATAGGAAAAATCTTATACTTCAACATCCTCCATAGTGCTACACTACCTCCCTAGGTTGCACATTACTATAGAGACTGTCAATTCAAAGCATACTGAGTAGGAAATTTGCAAGGAAACACGTACTTGGAGCCCCCAAATTTAAAAATTTGGATAGTGGACTAGGATCCAAGCACACAAACAGCCAAACATTCACCCGCATACATAATCAAACATCCCCCACACTTAAGCACGACATTGTCCTCAATGGAGGAAAGATAAGGAAGGTAGAATGAAGTTACTAGATCAAGGGTGAATGATGGTGGACGAGGCAGGCGGTGCATTCCAGAAGGAGAGAGTAGTCGGAACACAAACACCACACACAATCTCACAAAGGTTGAGTTATTGACTCTAAAATCAAATAACAAAACTGACTCAACCGAGGAGAAATAGAGAAAGAAATGCAAACCGACTTGTTGGGTCTCCTCCCAACAAGCGCTTCTTTCACGTCGTGAGCCACACGATGGCTCTTAAATTTCGGTCCATGCTAGAATCTCCTTGAAGTTGAGGTTCTCGTCAATGAGGTGGAGTCTCAAGTCACGAGCATGTGGTATGACAGGTGATGGAAGCTCGTGCACTTGATGCAGATAACGTCTCCACCCTCGAGACCTCTTCTTCTCTTCTCTCGTCTCATTGCCACAAACAAGATATGACAACAGCGATTGACCACCATCGCGTCCACCAAGAGGAACCAATGTTGATGTGGCCTTGGTCTGGCAAAGAGACACTGAAAATGGGTCCTTGCTAAGCAGTTCCTCAAAGTTTGGTGGGGATATACTTGCAACTCATGGCCGGTGCAGGCCTCTTCCACCTTAACTTCGTCCTCGGCCTGGACGCCAATTGCTTCTTCAACCTCCCTTTCTTCATCATGTGATATCACCCCTGGGAAATGATCAAGAACTCCTTCATCACTTTCGTCATCCTCCACAACTTCTTTCTGCACCCTTTCTTGCTCTTCTTCTTCTAGCACAGATTGGAGAGCAAGTTGCCATGTAATTTCTTCAATGAGATCATCTTGCATCTCCTCGCTCGGGCCCAGCATATCAGAGCGGAAATGGGGACAGTTGTGATCTACCACCAGAGGATACACTTGATCATGATTGTCATGGGAGCTTTCCGTGACAACTTCTGCATGCTCCTGAACATCCTCATGATTGCCTTCTTCTTCCTCCTCCTCTACTTGTATGACAGCATAAAGGTTGTCTTGAGAAAACTGTGCACAAGCGTTCCCAATGACCTCTATGTGCTTCTTTATGCTCCGAAGGGTATCCTATATTTCACGGGGAAAGGTGAAGTCAGTTTGGGCCATGGCCTGGATATGAGGATCCATCTCGGGAAAGGATCTCTTAGGTACTCGAGCAATCTGCTCCACGAGAAGCCTCAAGTGATAGTTTGGATCTGGCTGTGGAGTGTAGCATGGCTCTGCAAATTGGCCCGTGAAGGCCGCCATGGATAACTCCAGCTCCGATGGCCCTTCTGGTTGTGGGAGAAATTCTTCTCGGTAATGAGGTTGTTCTTGATAAGCCCAGGGGTCTGATTGTTCTCCGTAGTAAGGGGGTTGGTACTGGAACCCGAATCCATAGTCTTCTCCTCCTTGATTGCTCCAGGGAGTCTCGGGGTAATACCACTCGGATGGTGGTGGATACCCCCAATAATTGGAGAAGCCATGAGGATCCAGGATTCCAATATGCACCAACAGAAACAAAAACACCCAAGTGAAAAGCAAGGGTGGAAAAGAAAAATGCTAAATTAACAAAATTATGCCTTTCCTAATAATCTAGAAAGTCCCTGGCAACGGCGCCAAAAATTTGATACGCTACGACACAACACCTAACAATGGCCAAGTGTAACCAATGAAAGGGACTGCAGTATAGTGGAACAAGTAATAAATATCAAATCCACGGGCCTCTAGAGTTACTATTACTCAGCTTCAGTTCATTATCTAGCAAACTGGATTAAGGATTGATTTTCTAAACAACTCTACTAACTACTCTACTAATTACAAGTTGGGAACTCACTTAGGTATGATTCCCCCTAGCTCGTCAATTAGGTCCAAGTTGCAATTATCATTGGTTGATCTACTGTTGATTAAACTGCGGAAGATCCTAAATTAGCTTGGAATCTCTTAAGCTGACCAAGCCCTCTTAGACAGAATACCCGGGAGGCGACTAGCCGTCACCGGGATAGACTGCTAAGGCGATTCACACAGATCTCCACTACTGGAATGAATTCCAGTACAAAGCAGTGAATTGATTGACTCTCGCACAACCAATTCACCACTATCAATCAAGGAAGCTCTCTTAACCTAATTAGATTCTATCTATCATAGGTTAAAGCAGAAATCAAGAGAAGATGATCAGGCTTCAATTGACTATACAAATCATGCCTCAATCAATTATAATCAAACAATATAGCATCCAAAACTTCATACAAGAAAGATCCTAACACATGGAACTAGGGTTCCTCAAAACCTAAGTGAAGGGAAGTTACTCCATAGAGAAGAGAGAGACTGCAGAAATCTGATCTGGATCTTCAATCTACATCTCCAAGCTTGATTCCCGAGCTCCAATGGCTAAGAAATCCTCCAAAATAGCTCCAAGAATGTTCCCAAGCCGCTCTCTCTCTAGGGTTCGTCCCTTGGGTGTTTGGGAACCAAAACCTAGCTCTCTCCCTCTCCTTTGGCTCGAAATTGGCTTAAAACCAGAAATTCCCGACTCACACGACCAGGCCACACGGCCTTGTGACTTTCCCAACTGCCCGTGTGAGTGTCCAAACGCGGCATTTCGATTAGTGGGCAACCAGGCAAGCTGCACGGGCAGAGGCCACACGGCCGTGTGGCTTTTACTGAGCCTTCACACGACCACAAGGGGCCCCTACACGGCCGTGTGAGGTGCAATGGTGCCCGTGTGGCTTCCCAGCTTCTCGCCAAACGTCCAAACTTCGTCCAATCGACCCCAAACTCGTTCCTAAACCTTCATTCACGTACTAGGACGTGAAATATCACAAACAAGAACAACCTAGCGTGAAATCAGCCTAAAACACGAGAATCAACATCTCAAATGGCTCAAGAATAGGGGTAAAAACATGTGTAATTATTGGTCTATCATTGCACTTGGCCACTTTCTAGTGTGACGGCAGAGGCGTGTCAAGTTTTTGGCCCCGTTGCCGGGGACTTTCTATATTATTAGGAAAGGCAGAAGTTTGTTACTTTAGCATTTTTCTTTTCTTTTCCACCCTTGCTTTTCACTTGGGTGTTTTTGTTTTTGTTGGTGCAGTTCTGAATCATGGATCCTCATGGCTTCTCCAACCATGGGGGTATCCAACACCGTCCGAGTGGTATTACCCCGAGACTTCCTGGAGCAATCAAGGAGGAGAAGGCTATGGATTCGGGTTCTAGTACCAACCCCCTTACTATGGAGAACAACCGGACCCTTGGACATTTCAAGAACAGTATCCTTATGAAGAAGAATTCCTCCCACAACCAGAAGGGCCATCGGAGCTGGAGTTAGCCCCGACGGCCTTCATGGGCCAATTTGCAGAGCCATGCTATACTCCACGACCAGATTCAAACTATGAATTGAGGCTTCTCGTGGAGCAGTTTGCTCGGGACATCGAGAGACGCAATCGCAAGATGAACCTCTTTTTCCCATCTTTTGCTCCTCCTAACTCTTCATCCCTTCGTGAATCGGAGGAGACTGTTCCACACTCATCAAAGCAAACAGAGCGGATTCAGCAAGTTTGTGCACAACTTGCTCAAGATCACCCTTCTGCTACCATACTAGAAGAGGAGGAGGAAGACGAAGGCTATAAGGACATTGTGGAGCAAACAGAAGTTGTCACAGAGAGCTCCCGTGAAGATCATGATCAAGAATGTTCTGTTGTAGCCGACCACACCTTCCTACATCCCACACCGATATTTGAAGAGGTGGGCTTGAGCAAGGAGATGCAAGATGATCTCATGAAAGAAATTGCTTGGCAACTTGATCTCCAATCCGTGGTAGAAGAAGAAGAGCGAGAAAGGATGAGGAAAGAAGTTGGGGAGGATGACGGAAGTGAATTAGAGGAAGTTCTTGATCTTTTCCGAATGGAGGAATTAAATTATGAAGAAGGAAGGGGGGTTGAAGAAGCAATTGGCGTCCAGGATGGGGACGAAGTTGAGGTGGAAGAGGCTTGCACTGGCCTTATGTTGCAAGTAATATCCCCACCAAACTTCAAGGAACTGCTTAGCAAAAACCCATTTGCAGTGTCTCTTTGCCAGACCAAGGCCACATCAACATCGGTCCCTCTTGGTGGACGCGATGGTGGTCAATCGATGTTGTCATATCTGGTTTGGGGCAATGAGACGAGAGAAGAGAAAAAGAGGTCTCGAGGGTGGAGACTTCATCTACATCAAATGCATGAGCTTCCATCACCTGTCATATCACATGTTCGTGACTTGAGACTCCACCTCATCTATAGACCCAGAATTGCAGAGACCATTTGCTGTAAAGGAATGTTGTTGCTAGAACAAATCTTCAGCTCCTGCACTACTTTAAGTAAGACTTGGAAGGGATAAACTATTCTACCTGCACCATACAATCGAGAACATATTTCTCTCCATATAAGCACCACACATAAACCATAATAGCCTACCAATCTTGGCTGCTACTCTATTGACAACCCATCTAAAGACAACCAATTTAGTTGAGTCTGCCAATCCGAGAAAGAGGGCTAACTACAAATCTTCTGAAGCACAATTTGCAACACTGCATTTCTTTAAGAACACACATTAAAGAGATGATCTCTACTCTCAAGTCTATCTGGGCATAACACACGGTTGCTATCACAAGACATGCCCCAACTTAATAGCTTGTCCTTAGTTGCGACTCTGTGCAGTATACCAACCAAATAAGTGTACTATGCTTAGGTATAAATGTCTTTCCCCAAATAACAGAGGACCAATCAACAGAGGGTGAAGGAGTTTGGATTGAGGACCAGACCAATTTGACAGAATATTTGATTAGATCATTACCATCCCAAGCAAGAGTGCTACCTGCCCTCAGTAATATTAGACTGAGCATGCTCTCTACACTTGAGAAGTTTCTCCCATACCCACGAACTTGCTGAGCCAATAGGGATAACCAAGATGTCTTTATCCTTTGATATGTATTTCTTTATCCAAGCTACCCATAGTGATCCTGCCTCTGCTAGCAAGTTCCAGAGATGGCGAATAATGTAGGCCTTTTTCCATGTCTTGAAATCTCTTATCCCTAACCCCGTTCTTGTTTCAACAGAGCTACCTTGGACCATGCTACTGGAGCCCTTTTCCATCCATTTCAGTGCCAACTCCCCATAAAAATTTATTGCAGACTTTTTCTATCAAGTTTAATACCTTCAACGGTAGCAAAAAAACCGACATCCAGTATCGAAAGACACTTGTTATCGCTAACGAGATTAGTTGCAATCTCGCAGCATAACTAGGTGTTTTGGCCTGCCAAGTAGTAATTCTTTTGGTAATCTTCTCCAATAAATTTTGACAATCCTAAGCTGATAACTTCCCAGGAAGTAAAGGAACACCCAAATACCTTGCTAGAAATGCACCCAATGGAAACCCTGTATGATCTGATATAGCCTGCCGCTCTACCTTAGATATACCAGCACAGAAGAGCTGATACTTAGACATGTTGCATTTAAGTCCAGATATCATATAAAACTTGTCTAACAATCTCTTTATCCCATCCACAGCTTTGATAGAACCATTAGATAAGACTAGGAGATCATCGACAAATCGGAGATGTGTAATCTCCAACCCTTTACATCTAGGATGATAAGGTATTTGAAAGCAACAACCCTAACTAACAGACATGAGAAAACTTCCATGGCAATGGTGAAGAGGTAAGGGGACAATGGACAGTTGATGACAACAACTCATTCTGAATAAGGCTGAATGAATAGTTGAAGGCATAACTCATTCTAATTTAAGTTGAATGAATAGTTGATGTCACAAATCAATATGAAAAACATGTTATCAATTTGTGGTTATATGAACAAATTACTGTATTTTTCATCATTGATGATGTCATATTTAACCATAATTTTTTATGTCCAAATTAAAAAATATTGAAATGTTTGTTTTAATTAATATTACTACCTATATAAAAATAATGAACAAATTATCTATTTAAAAGGATGAAATCTACACTAAACAAAACTGTGGTGAAAATCAAAATATGAAACTTTTGGAACTTATTGGAGAAAAAACACTTTATGAGAGCAATGCCAAATCTAGCCCAAATTCTAGCACTTTTAGAACTATTGTTGGAGATTGTTTAATGGTCGAGCTATGTTATTTTATTTTACTTCTATTTCCATAATTTATTTCGAGAATGAGACAAGGACTTGATCCTCTTAATTTCTAAGCCCTGCTCCAATTAACCCTAAGAATGCTCCTTCTCCACTTATCCCATTAATGTCTTCACCTCCCTTTTATTTTTCTGTTGGAGCTTCCATTCTCATTACCCAAAACCCGTCTAAGATAGGGTGCATAACAAATTTTATGCACCCTTGTATAATCAAATATGAATCCTTAGATTTGAGTGGGGCTAGATGGACTCAGATATAAGGAGTGAGAATCAATGGTTTTTTTTATTTTCTCTAGTTTTCTTAATCGGCTTTTATCTTTTTCGTTCAAATTTGGATTTGAATTTTCTTTTGCACAAATAAAACGAGTTCATTGTGATCCACAAAATGATATCCATTTTTAATATATTTCGAGGAAAAATTTCCAAACCACTCATTATCACATTGGTACCACATTTATTTTTAACTCGAATTTGAAAACTTTTACATAGAAGAACGAGTTCAACGTGATCTATTGGATCTAGAAATTTCTGGGGTAAAAATACATGTCCAAACTGTAACATCTCATACCACCCTGGTATAGGGGCAGTAACTGGTGGTAAACAATGATGAATGTGGTAAATGATAATGTGTGTATTCCTACCATCATGTATTCAACAATCATACACCATGATATACTTCCAGACCACGAGGTATGATCTTATGTAGTATCAAGCTTTACCACCATGGTATAGACTGGTAATGAATGTCTCAAATTTTTTTGTTCAAAAAATATATCAGAGTGAATATCATTTTGAAGAGCACAATTAATATGATTTAGATATTCAAAAAATTTAAATTACGGCTTAAAATGAAAGAGATATACCCGTTACAAGTTATAAGGGAAAACGTTAAAGGTCTTCCATAACTGGCGATGTGGCAGGTTATGCACCCATGTATAACCAAAACTACAGTGGATGACTAAAGAAGAAGAAACCAGAGCCGACATTGGGGAGTAGTTTTGGTTAGTAATCTTAGGATCAATAACCATGAATAACCTGACATATCACCATTTATGGAAAGCCCCTAACATTTTCCTCTGTAAATTTTAACAGATTATATCTCTTTTGTTTTAAGTCATAATTTAAATTTTCTTGCATAGATAAATCAAATTAATCCTACAATTCAAAATGACATCCACTTCGATATATTTTTGAAGCAAAAATGAAATATTTTGTACTAGTCTATACCATGATGGTAATGATTGGTATTAAATAAGATCATATCATGTGGTATGGAAGTGCAGCATGGTGGTATGAACATACCGTAGTGTAGGATGGTTGAATACACGAGAGTAGAAATATACAAATTTTCATTACCAGATTCATCATTATTTACCACCAGTTGCCACCCCTATACTAGGGTGGCACGATGTCGTACATTTTAGTCTTGTATTTTTTCCGCCAAGAAATTTATAGATCGAATAGATGACAAAAAACTCATTCCTTCTATGCAAAAGTTTTGTCTCAAAACCTTATTACTCTCATTCAACACTACACTTCCCTTTGTTACAAATGCCTAGAATCTCTAACAATATTCAATTCATCCTAAACTATCTTACCTTTCAACTAGCTCCCTCTTGTACTCTAGTTTATTTTTAGAGCATATACTCTTATGACTCTAGATATTTTAAATAAAAAATCACAAACATTTTTTTATGGAAAAAATTAAAAGAATTTGAATTTATTTTGGCAATATGGACCTTGTGTAAATTTTTTGAAGGAAAGCCTAACTTAGCAATTCTGAACATCTCGTAACAATGCACAATGGCCATCCTCCTTTACTCCATTCACGACTTGTTCACTCATTTGGGGCGAGCTCATATAATTTAAATTACAAAACATTAGTATGATTGGTTGGGTTTGGACTTGTTGTTTTGTTCTCTATTTATTTTTTTATGTTATTAAATACATGTCTTTTTCTAATTATAAAAGGTGAGGAACGAGAGAATCTTATCATATTGCCATTTTTTAAGTGAAGGAAGAGGCTCAAACATATAGATGATTTTCCTTCCCATTTATATTTGCAATGAGGGAGGTGAGGTTGTGGATGATACAAATAGAAAGAGGAAACAATTGTTCTCTCTTTCTACTTTATTTTTCTTCTTCTTCTTCTTCTTCTTCTTCTTCTCTTTTCTTACCCAAAACTTGTCAAATCCCTTTGTCTACCATCTCATTTCAAGGTTACCCTATGATTTGACTGTGCCGGCAGAAAGGGAGGTTCTTATCAAAGGATACAAAGGGGGGCCTTCTTTGTTTTTTTGGTCAACAAGTTTCAAAGAAGGCTCTTCTTCTTCTCCGCTTTTATGTTTTCTTAAAAAACTTGTTACAAGTTATAGGAGGAACAAGAAAGGATAAAATGATGAGGTGTTGGACATTGGCGGTTCAATTGATAGAGCTATTTGTGAGCGCTTTGGTGCATATGCTCTATGGTTTCTACATATTCAGCTCTGCAGTTGCTGGGGACCTCTCTCAAAGATTGAGTGATTGGTATTTCAAGCCCAACATGGACCTTATCGTTAAGGAACCACAACAACAAGAATTAACAACCGTGACAAGTTCTGCTAGCACTAGACTCGATGAACTCCCCCCAATTGTCTTGATCCATGGGATTTTTGGATTCGGTAAAGGAGTATGTAAAAAAAAATTATGAACAATTCCCATTTTTTACTTGGGAGGATTTCTGAGATGGATTTCTCTAGATTATGAAATCTCATTCTAATTTACCCCTTTCCTATGGATGTTTTATTATCTTCAGAGATTGGGAGGTTTATCGTATTTTGCTGGGGCAGAAAATAAAGATGAGAGGGTTCTTGTTCCGGATTTGGGTTCCCTTACAAGCATTTATGATAGGTCTTTCTCACAAATTTCCTATAGCTCATCATTTTTTTATTCTTTTTAATTAAAAAAATTTCAAACTAATGATGGTTTTCCTTGCGAATTGCTAGGGCAAGAGAGCTATTTTATTATCTGAAAGGAGGGAAGGTTGATTATGGTGAAGAACATAGCAAAGCTTGTGGACATTCCCAATTCGGAAGAACTTATGAACGAGGTTACAATTCTCCCCATTTTTTTTTGTTTGGTGAGCTTTCTTTCTTTTACTTTTAGAGAATGATTTGGTTTCGTAAATTGGAATTTAAAATTTCAGGAAATTGCCCTAGATGGGGTGAAGATCACCCAATTCACTTTGTTGGCCATTCTGCTGGAGCACAGGTTGTTCGAGTTTTGCAACAAATGCTTGCGGACAAGGCTAGTTTCATCCTCAAATTATCATCATCCCTTTAAGATAAAGTTGAAACTCTCATATCTTTTTACTATGGATAATTTTCTTCTTCAATTTATTATAGGCCTTCAAGGGTTACGAGAGAACTTCTGAGAACTGGGTCTTGAGCATTACATCCTTATCAGGAGCCTTTAATGGAACTACAAGAACATACTTGGATGGGATGTAGTGAGTGCTTTGGTTTGAAATCTGGTCCATTTTGGCATTCTTTGGTTTAGTCCTTTTGGTGCTTTCTTTCTTCTTCAAATTCTATGATTTGTGTTCTTAAATCTATGTAAGTGAATTAATTTTTAGTGAGATGAAATTTCATTGAATGACGATGCTTTACATAAATGCAGTCCTGAAGATGGAAAGAGCTTGAAATCAATATGTTTGCTTCAAATATGTCGTCTTGGCGTGATTGTCTATGATTGGCTTGACATACCTTGGTTGAAGGCTTACTATAATTTTGGGTTTGATCACTTCAACATGTCTTGGAAGAAAAAGAGCATTTCGGGTTTGGTGGATTGCCTACTAGGTAACTCTGGCCCATTTACTTCAGGAGATTGGATACTTCCCGACCTTACAATCCAAGGGTCTATAGAAATCAACTCCCATCTACAAACATTCCCCAATACATACTATTTCAGTTATGCAACTAAGCGTACCAGAAAATTCATGGGTATCACTATGCCTTCCAGCATCCTTGGCATCCATCCCATGCTTTTCATCAGAGTTCTTCAGATGAGCCAGTGGCGCCATCCTTCTGAAGTTGCTCCTCCTTACAAAGGATATAGGTTAATTTCACGTACATTATTATATAGCATTTAAATTGTTAATGAATTGAGTTTTCTATAATGATTGACAAGTGCAGTCACTAATAAATATCATTAAATAAGTAGTCTAAAAATTCTTAAATGTCACTGAAATAATACTTAAATCATTTATAACTATATCAATTCATTGTACAGAGATGAGGATTGGCAGGACAATGATGGGGCCCTCAACACCATATCCATGACACACCCTCGATTCCCAATTGAGCACCCAAGCCATTTTATTCAAGATGATTCCGAGTGTGAATCCTTGCAACCAGGAATCTGGTTAGTGGTCCTCCTTCTCTCTGTTATGCTCTAAACTTCGGAATATGTTCATTGGAAGCTATACTTTGGTTTATGATTGATATATAAAGATAGAATGACTAACAAAGAGAAGTTAATTGGGATGTGGGCAAATTTGGATGTAGGTACTACAAGATTATTGAGGGAGATCACATATTGTTCATTGTCAACAGAGAGAGGGCAGGAGTCCAATTTGATTTGATATACGACAATATTTTTGAACGGTGTAGAAAACATGTATTCAAAAAGAATCCACAAATGTTGCCAAATGAAGCACAACCGTGACTATAGAACACCTTGCCCCCTTCAATTTCTTTTAGTTATTGCTTACCGTCCATACTCGCCGAATTATATACAGAGGAGAGAGCTAAGTTAGAAAACAAAGATCATCACAATAGAAAAAATATAGTTTTGTATGATTATTGTAATGTTGCTATATCGTCTTTGGCATTTTGCCTCTCATCAATTTCCTCCAATGTAAAAATTAATATATATAAAGTGAAAGTTAGGTTACTGTTGCCAAATAATATACATTTTGATACCTCAAATTTAATTAAATCACAACTTAGTTACTATAATATAAATTTTATATTTTGATACCCCAAATTTAATTTTAATATATAACATTGAACAATTATGTTTTGGTATCTAATTTTATGAGATTTTCATACCTACAATTTTTTCAAATTTACATATTTGTCAAATGTTTATATTTCACTTGAGTCCATGAATCCAATCCACCAATCCTCTCGAACCAATTCATGAATCTAATCCACCATAACATAAAATTATAAATTTAGTTTGTACAATACAAGATATTGTATCAATCAACTATAGGAGAAGATTCGACCATTTTATATTTGCACATTATGTGAAACATTAAATAAATGATAAAAGAGATACAACTCTAAAATATTGCAAGACCGAATTTATAAACTCATTGAGTACATTTACGGGGTACTAAACAAACTTCTACTAACTACATATAATAAAATATGCGACATCTACATAAGCGAGTGTCGATAAATTGCTACGGTAAAAAGGGTTGAATGTTGTATTGACGGCTAACTAAAAGAATTGGTCAACACCTTTCTATAATCTAATTCCTTTTCGTTCATTTTTCACTCGCCTTCCATAACCCTTTATTTCTTTCTTTGCCTTCTTCGTCTAACCCTAATTAGTATACTATTTTTATGTATTATAATCACAAGTATGAACGGGTCCATACATGACTCACCAACAGTCTAGAAAACTAACAATTGAACTATGAACCACTAAATTTTTTCAACTCAATGTCGAGCCCAATTAAAAATAAATATATATGGTTATTACTTATTGGAAAGTCGTCATTTTCCACTATGAGATTGATATGTGTAGATATCTAGCTAAATATTCCATCTATATTTGTTGAAAATTCTAGCCCGGATGAAAAAGAAATACTCTAGAGAGATGCAAAAGGAATATAAACTTACATCTACACACTTTCAAACTCATATATACGTCACTCATACCATAGCTATAATCAATGAGTCTACTTGGGTTTAGCTAAATATCATTTACTAGCCAAATTTTTTTAAAAAATAATTGGATATTATGCGCTATATATCTCTTCTAAGTCAATATTACTAACAACATCGTAAACGAAAAATTAATTTTAGATTAACAATATTAACAAAATACCATAATGGGCCACATAATACATGCCCATAGGCCATCTCCGCCCCGCGACAAGGCGCGACATCGCCACCTAGTTATATTTTAAAGGAGTTTACAATCTTCAATCATCCATGTAATTATTGCTACAACCTTAAAATAGTTGTGGCCAATTTCCAACTCCCAAATACATGTCTTAAATGTGTCATTTTGATGTTTTGATTTTGATAATTAATATTTAAAATGTGAAATAAGTTAGCTTTATTTTTAGAGCCTTTGGCCTTGGATCAAGGGTGATCACTAAGATCTCTTCTTCCCAGAGAAAGGGATCGACCTCTCCACTTTTCTTTTCCTGATAGTTAATTTCAAAAGAGAAAGAAATATAACATTCAACGACGTATTGTGGACAAAATTGTCATTTGGTTCATTGTTTGATTGAGAGATTTATTTGGATGAGTTCAATTCTTCATTAACACTCATAACTTTGTCAAACCATCCGCATTTCTAAAGCCGAAAAAGTTAAAAGTTGTGCAAAATTTGGGGTTTTAGCTATATGAAAAGTGCTTATGCTCGAACAGTGCTAGGGCTACATTTCTCCATAACCATTTATTTTTTTGTCCAAATCCAACTTAGTGTTGATTTTATCACTTGCTTAGATAATTCAATTCTTATTTGTATATAACTAGTAATAAATAATTAAAACATTTTGTTGTACTTTTTTAATTTTTGTGCTATAGGTTTTATTTATCAATAAATATGATGTCATCATTGACGAAACAAAATAATTTAATGAGATGGTTATTGATTTATCCCTCGGATAGCATTTGAAGACAAATCTTGAAAGAGGATTACTCTGTCGACAGAGCAGCTCACCACAAACCATAGAAGATTAGTAGCTCGAGGGCCAGATTGGCATCCAAAATGGTGTTATAGGGGCCATTTCCCCTTGCACAACCGCAATTTAACAAAAGGTGGGTATCTCATATGTATATGACGCATATCATTCTAAAGCATGTCTAAGAAAACTCGATAGGGAGCTTGACTTTGTAACGCCTTCCTTTTCCTTTTTCCACATATAAATTTGTTATTATTTTCTTTTCATGCATTTTTTATTTTGTGAAAGAAATTCGAGGGGCACCTTAACCTTGCATTTGTTCGCAGGGGCACCTCAACCCCAAACCTTATTTTGAATCAAAGAACAAAATTGCTATCAACTGAGTAGTGAGCTTTGAAAGGCCCTAAGAAAATGTGATCCTCGCTACGTAAATTTGACTAATTTCCTACATCATAAGAAATTGTGCACTGTTGTTGGGGATTTTCACTTCCTTATTGAAAGGGAGTAGGGATATTGTTCTTTTTTTACTTTTACTTTTTCTGTTTGTTTATTTTGAGTTTAGAGTTTTCTCTTTACTTTGTTTTCTTTATAGTCTTGTTTTTAGTATATTTTCCTTTTTCTTCATTTTTTTCTTGTTTCTATTATTTTTTCTTCTTACTTTCTCGTAGAGTTTTGGTTTAACATGTTACAGACAGATTCTATTGCTCACAAGCAAGGTGCCATTTTGAGACGTAATTTGGTGGTTTTGGTGCAGTTCTATAAAAACTCGTCTCCCGAAATTTCTCTATAAGGTAATTTCTTTGCATGACTCCATCACAAACTAGGAGCCAAAAACACAAGCTTAAGCTCAAAATAAAAGCTCATGGTCATGTTTAACTAATTGGTGATTTAGATTTCTATGAACTTATGTTACCATCAGTTAGAAAGAGAGCACAAAAGGAATAACATATTAAAACTCTTTTCTTTAACCCTCTCAATCAATGTTCAAAGGCAGAAAGTAAACAAGTACCATATGAACCTCAAACTCCAAGATGCATCGTTGCACAAGCATTTTGTAAGTATGCTAGGAGTGGGCATGCAACTGTAGATTCAATATCTAAGTTGGTAACCCGTAATGCCCTGGTTGGATATACCGAGCAACGTTGATAAAGCTGAAGAACCGGAAGGAAAATCCCATGAAGGTATACAAGGAGAGAAAAAAGAAGACATTCAAGAAGGTGAGGTTAAGAAAAAGCCTCATGTCCCCGAGTTCATTCTTAAGTTGTCATTCCCACAAAGAGCCTTCGAGAGTGACTTGAACCATGAGCGTGGTTAATGGAAGGATATGCTCAAGAAACTGAAGGTAACCATTCCTTTCTTGGATGTTGTAATGAAGGTTCCCAAGTATATTTTTTGAAGGAGATCTTAGCCGGTGAGCAGAAGATGGAAGAATGCTAATGGTCACTTTGAGTGCCGCTTCTTCCTCTACTATTGTTTGCAAAGGTTTACAACAAAAGCTAAGAGATGTGAGAGCTTTCACCATTACATGTACCTTTGACGAGAGGAATTTTTGGGATCCATTAGCTTACTTCGGCTCCAATATCATTATTATGCGAATGAGCTCGGTTTGGGGCCTCTCACACCAACAGGTATGCAAGTGTATCTTGCAAATCAATTGGTATCTACTCCAATCAGGATGTTGAGAATGTCATAGTAAAGTGTGCTCATTTTGTCTACCTGTTGACTTTGTGATAATGGATACAAAGGGTTGAATCGAAGTACCTATCATACTTGGGCATCCATTTTTAATAACCACAAGCATCATCATTGATGTGAGTGGAAACATGACTCTCATTCCTACATTTCAAAAGCTACTCAAATAAGAAGACATAGATTCAAAATGCGAGCCACCGACTCCTACATCTACCCCACCATCAAGTCTAGAGATATAATGGATCAACATTGTATCAAAAGTTGATTCGAAGAAAGAACAAGGAGATTCCAAAAGGAATGATAAGAAGGTGGTGTATGATGATCCAAAAAAAAAAAAACTAAAAAAGGAATTACTTATGGTCTCCAACAAGACCAATATCAAGAAGACAAGACTTAAGAAATTCTAGTTTGAAGAATGGTATCCTAAAGGCAAAAGCAAAGAAAAGTTGAAGAGTTACAAATAGGTCAAGATTTCATCGGTTATCAAAGAAAAGCCCCAAGAATGCTTTGAGCCACTCAAGGGTTATGTGCTTGAACGTGTATCGTGTGATAAATCTCTAAAGGACCATCCTTATGAGAAAAGCCTTTAGTTTTCTTATAAAGAGGGACCTTCCAACCTCTTTCTCGGGTTACTAAGAGGAGAAATATTTAACGCTCATACTTTTGAAACTTTAGTACCACATTCAACATACCAATATCAGAGACGTGGTTGGATACCTCAATAAAAACACAAAGATCCTCAACCTAATCCAGAACCAGAAGCTAAATAACCTTAACAACTATAGCACCAAGGACAAGGAAACCACAGAAGATAACTAAGGTTGATGATGCCTCACCTTCGCCATGCATTTTTTAATGAAATCCCAGTGAGCAGATTGACCGATACCTCAGATTTTGTGAGCTACCAACTAGAGAGAGTCAGTTTGTCAATTGTTTTTTTTTTTTGGCTAGTTAGGGTTTGATGAGACCATTAGAGTAAAGATCAATTAGCCGGAGTGGATTTATATTTTTTATATTCAAGAGAGGATTTAAAGGCTCCTCATGATCGAGTTCTTGAGTTTTGAGACAATCAAGAATTTCAACGGTGTAGAATGAAAGTTTTAGAACATCGAATTTAGATTGGGAGGATGATCAAGATAGTTGTCAATAAGGCAATTTACAAGGGCATTGAATAAATACCCTCAGGAGCATATGTAATCTTCTTTGAGCTTTGCCTCGTTGACTCCAGAGCACTAGTTCCCCAATATTGGAAAATTTTATGAGTTAGAGCTCAAGGTGCCCGGAGGCATAGGAAAAAGGATGGAATGTGAGGCTGTCAAAGGGAAGGGAGGTGAAGTTAGAGTGGAGGTTGATCCACCATTGATTGCTTGATCCATGACTGGAAGATATGGAAGCAACATAAATATTTAGCATGAGATGTCCATATTCCATGGAGCATGTAGATTCAGAAATCCT